GGCTGCGCCCGGCGGGGCTGCTTCCCGGCCGGGAGCTGCTCTGGGGGGTCGCGGCACGGCCGAGGGCTCCACTCACCACGCACAAACACCTTCGTGCCCCGTCCCGACGCATACCGCTCATCCTGCCCGTCTCCTTTCTTAAACTTCACACAGTAATAGGTCCCGGCATCCTTGACTTGGATGTCACTGATGTGGATGGTGAAGTTTGTGCTGGATTCATTCACTGCCCTCGTTACGCGGGGGAAGGAGCCTTTCTGCTCATAAATGAGCTCTTCCCTGCCGCCCAAATTCTTCAGCCACTTCACGGGTCCCACTACAGGGAGCTCAGACACGGCGCAGTGCAGGGTGAGCGTCTGCCCCAGGGACACGGACACCTCCGCCTGGGGCTGCTGCAGCTGGAAGTTCTCCTTTGTCTGGGCACTGGCACCTGGAGCAAAACCAAGCTCAGTTATGTACTCCTCAAATGCAGGAGGTGCCCGCTGGCCCTCACCTTTCGAGCTCTTTCCTCAGTAATAACTGGCAACCCAAGTCTGAGCCCAGGCTCTTCGCTTGCCTTCAGAGCCCTCCCCAGCATCAATGCCCTGCAAAGCTCCCACTGCCATGCTCTGGCCTGCTGCTGCCGTGGGATGAGGCTAAGTTTACAGATGCGCTCAAGGTTGTTAGCAGGAACTGAGGGAAACAGGGTTGTGCCAAAGCCCTGAGCCAGCACTCCAAAGCAGGGGAGCCTGTGGGAGAGGTTCAGCTTCTATGAGCAGGCAGAGCGCTCTGTCCGACTGCAGGCCTCAGCAGTGAAGTTGAGACAGCTGGATCTTTACTGAATGACAGCTTCTAGTACGATGTACAGCCAAAACATCAAACTAATCCCAGCTACTGAGTCTTACTGGCATGCCATACCTCCCATGTTATGGGCCATCCATGTTTATCAGTCAGGAGAAAAGAAGGGCATAAAATGCAGAACTCCCCACAAGCAAGCTCTCTTCACAGATGCGGATGTAATACCACATTTTCTGCACTTAATCTAATTGCTATTGAGCTTCAGTCCTGATTTTTTCTACTAGAGCATAGTTACAAGCTGAAGCCTACACCAGTTAGCCAGAAGTTATTCCCACTTGTCACTGATAGAGAAAATCGGTTCTCCATAAGGTAGCTTCCTAATCTAGCAGATCGTGTCCTTTGCAGTGCAAACAGAAATGCACTGTGCTTGGCCAGCTAGCGTGCTGTGGGCGAGTGGCCTCTTCGCTATGCAAACAAGGGTGCAAACACATCTTGGTACATGCACAGTCGGGCAGAGACAATTCCCTCTGAGGTCTCGAGAAAAACTTCTCTGTGGTCTCCCCTATGGCAGGCAATAAAAGCAGCCCTGAGTGGAATTATAGCCAGAGCCAGCAGGGACAGCAGGACTGAACTCCCCAAGATCCGGGTAAGACATGCCTCACAAAAGCTAAAGCAGAAGCAGCAGGCAGGCTGGCTCAGCCCACCAGAAGTCATAAGCAACGCCGTTGTTCCAGGCTTCACAGAAACAGCTGCAGTATCACAGACACTCTGTAGCCTACACACACAGCTCCTTGATGTATTAATTTTGGCAACACTTGTCATACCGATATAGTTATTGCAACTTAATTGAATAAGATTTCAATACATGTCATTGCTTAAGGGAACATTTTAAAACCATGCACGAGCAAAGTGGGAGAGTTGTGTGAATTCCACTGCTTGTAACAGGAGCCCTAGCGAGGACCAAACATTGCTGACCGCCACATTCCTGGAGCTGATGGGCAGCACACAAACGGTGTCGCTGGTCAACACTCCAGAGACTGCTGTATGTGAACATGTAATTCCCACTGCAGTTCATTGGTGTCAGGAGCATATGGATCAGGGCCACTGGACAAGAGCAGTGGTTTTGGGTTGGCTGTGGTACAGCTGTATCGAGAAGCCTTCACCCTTTTGGGTCGGAGGGTTGCAGCTGCAACCCAAATCTTTCACACATAAAACAAAGGATAGTGACCCCTGTGAAGGCTCCCCTTGGAGCTGCTTCAGCCCTGCTGAAGTTCCTCCTCTAGCAGAAGGTCAACTTTGTTCCAGGAAACCCTGCCCTGCCTCTGTGCGAGACTGCAGCCATCAGCTCGATAAAAAGGACAAAATCCGTAACTGGACCTTCTCGGAAGGACCCACGACAGGAAAAGCTTCTCCAGTCCTTTCAGTCAGCAGTTGCTTCCCACACTGGGACTTGAGAGGATTTGGGGGAGTTGTTAATCCCTTGTGATTTTCAGCCTCATTTTATGTACTCACAAACATTCTCACTACCTGTATAAACACCAGTTATCAAGGGCGAGATTTCTTCTGGCATCAAGGTCCCCAGGATAAACCTTTTTGCACAGCGTTAAGTCTGTGGTGTCTCATTCCTTTCACAGACCGATGCCTACAGCTGAAGGCTTCAGGCCCTTGACGTTTCCCTTCAAAACCACAGCAAGGCTAGCGCAGCCGCGACACCGAGACGAGCTCGTCCCAAAAGGCCTGCCCAGAAAGGTGGAAACCTGGTTTCTGTCACGTCCGAGCGTGCACCGTTCAGGCTGAGCCTCCATTTTCTGCCCGAACGGTGACAGCCTGGGCTTCGGCAAGACGAACTGCTCCCTTGTGCCCGCGTTTCTCAGATAATACCTGCTGCGCGCGCCGGGCCGGGGCCCACGCTCCCGGCCG